AATATTCAGGTATTCAAACTTTTCTTAGGTGAAAACTTGTTAATTATAAAATTAATATACTAATAAAAAAATATATAAAATATTTATGTAATATTAGTTATATAAAGTAGACCTCTATATAACCCTATACCTTTACTTATAATAGATAAACTTAATGTATCTTGTAAAATACAATAAATTAAAGCTATAATAGCTACTCTATTGAAAAGTATTGATACGTCTCGTCTTAAAGTGACGGTATTGGAAAGTAATATAAATAATATTGAAAATACTATCATTTTAAACCAGGAGAGAAATTCGAATTCTTATTTTTAACGCATGAAATTAAAGTTTTAACCACTTAAACTATCCGGGTTTATAGGGTGAATACCCTGATTCGAACAGGGAACACACTACGCCATAAATAGTCGATCTACCGATTAAACTATATCCACCTTATATTAAAGTGATTCGAACACTTATCGGTAAATATCAAAAATTTATAACTTACCTATTAGTCTATAATATAATTAAAGTGAATCCGACTTGAACGGATAAGATTATTTTTAATCAAACAGGCCTAAACTATTCATGTCTACCATTTCCATCATCACTTTATGCTCGCGGTAAGACTCGAACTTATAACCTAAATAGCTTTAATATTTTGCTTAACTAATTAAGCTTCACAAGCTAAAAATTATTAAAAAATAGAGGATCTGGGATTCGAACCCAGGATTATAGTATGCAATGTTATCGTATTACCAAATTATACTAATCCCCCTAATATATCCGAAAAACGACTTAAACGTTTACGAAATTTTATCAGTATTGTTTAAGAATACCCTGTCTACCTATTCCAGTACTCGGATTATATTTAAGGCTAAAGTGAGTTAAACACTTATAATTACTATTATAAGCAGTATACTTTACTAATTAAGCTATAGCCTCTATATACGGATAAAGGATTTACACCTTTAAATCTTAGTTATAAGCTAAGTATGTTACTATTACATTAACCTATAATAAATTTAAATTAGACTAGGCGGGGTTTAAACCCGCGTATATAGTATTAAAAGAGCTATATCTTAACCACTTGACTACTAATCCTAAAAAGCCTAGTATAAGTATCGCACTTGCTTCTATTAATTATAAAATAATTGCATTACTTTTATACTAACCAGGCTATTAAAAAAAATATAAGATATATTAATGAATAGTTATTTTTAAAATTAGTACTTATTATCTAAGGATCTCTCGACCTTTATAAATAAAGCCTATCGCAAATATTATATTTTAATGTATGCCGTAATATTATATTACGATTATAATTTAGAAATATATTAAGGTAAGCTTCGTGCCTATATGCTTTCAGCACTTATCTTTAACTAACTTAGCTTTCCTGCCGTGCCTATACTATTTATTTACCTAAGTAGGAGTAATATCCCTTTATAAAATTTTACAAATTTTTAATATTAGGTATATAAATAATAGGTAAACCATAGATTAATAATTAATAATACTTAACTTTTTAGTGTTAAGTTTTTCCTATTTCTTTCGTATAAAGGTTAATCCTTATTCTATTCTAACTCCCTCTAGAAGATAGAAACCATACTGTCTCACGACGTATTTAACCCAGCTCGTGTAACTTTTTAATCGACGAATAGTCGTACCCTATATAGTTTCTGTATCTATAAGGATAAGTTAAGCCGATATCAAGGTGCTAAACCGCGCACTTATTTTATACACTCTTACGCAAATTAGCCTATTCTATATATTATCATAATATTTATTTCTATTTTTCATAAAATAGTTCAGACTATATCTGCATTTTTATTTATACTATACTATAAAATAATATTTTTATTTTCCACTTACTTAACCTTTTACTATAAATACTCTAATACGACGTTTTGAATTAGATACTGAATAACTTATATTAGGTTTATAATAACCTCTATAAGTTACTATAGATAACCCTTTGTAAGAGGAGTCTATATTTTTTAATCCACCTTTTTAATTTAATTTGAATATAGCACGATCAGCTCTATAACGTTTAGTTAATCTACCTTTAACTTCTAATCTTAGACCTCCTATATTTTTATATTTAATAGAATTAAAAATTATATTT